GGGTCTCGAACCCGCGGGCTCAGGCAATCCACTCACCTCAGCCTCCCAAAGCGCTGGGATTACAGGCTGAGCCACCGGGCCCGGCAACTTTTTAGTTTTAAAAGCTCTCTTGGATTTTCAATCTGGAATCTAAGGCATGGGGCAGGTCCAGGGGATCACCTGGATGTAAATGCCAGAGGAGTTTCCGCTCTGTAGGCAAATGGACACAGCATGGTTGGTTGAATTTCAAGGAAGATGATGCTCAGGGGAGTTATATATCTTCCAGTAAACCAGAGACTTCTCCACCTTACTCAGTCAGCCCACCAGATTAGGGACTCTGGCTCACAGCCTCGCAACCTATGTAGAGGCACTGTCCTTCACCTCCCTTCTTGGCCTCCTCACACCCTGTCTTGTCCAGTCCACATCTGGACAAGCCCATGGGCTGCTCCATTATCACCACAATCCACATGGTAGGAGAGAAAAGGCGTTTCCTAGATTCAGTTGACACCCCAGGGAGCCCAGAGTGAGCCATTAGGGCAGAAGAGGAATGGTGGGGTGGAGGAAGAACACCATAGGCCCTGCCACAACTTCCTCCCCCTTGCATAGCAAAGTATTCTTTTGGTGCAGACTCCCAACAGCCACCACCATCTTCTCCTCTTCCAGAATTTTCCTTCACCCTTTCAGCTCATTCTCAGGCTTCAACTTTGTGCTTTTTCTCAGACACAAGCACCCTATTTCAACTGCTCTCCTTCTGTGGTTTTCCAGCTCCTCCTGACAATAATTTATAAACAACAGGCTTTCAAACCCACCTCCTCACTTCATGCTCACAATCCCATAGGACGGTTGCCTTACAGGTTGGCATGGGAAGTGTTGGGGGCACTGGTCCTGTCAGACAACCTGCAAACAGGCCATCAGAACTTTTGTTTCTTCCCTGCCACCCACTCCAGACCAAACCTCTGCCTCCCCGGAGTGCAGGCAAAAAAGCAAGGTCTCTGAAACAAGGATTCCTGAGTGGTTTAGGGAAAATCATTTCACTTTGCTGAGCCTCACGTTCTTCACCTGTAAACAGACATGGTGACGGCTTCATAGGGCGTGAGAGTTGAATGAGATCATGGGTGTGACACACTGACTCACGGCTGGGCTTTCCCACAAGGAAAGAGAAGTGTTCTAGGCACCCACAGGCCCTTGCCCACACCGCCACAGCGCTGTCGACCCAGGGCTCTCCAGAGGGGGCTGGGGGGCGTCTCCTTTACGTCTGTGTCTCCGACCCTCCGCCCAGCGCAGCCCAGGCTTGCCGCATCGGCTTTTTTGGCACCCACTCCCCAGCCCTAGGGCCCCCTCTTCGGTCTGACACGTGCCCCCCTTCTCACCTCGAGACCCCGCCCGTCCTTGCCCCACCCACCAAAGGCTCCTCCCACAGTCCCGACCCTCATGATCCGGGCTTCTCCAACCTGCACCATCCACCCTGGCTCCTCCCATCAACTCCGCCCCTCTCATAGTTCTGCCCCTCGTGGCTCCCGTCTCCCCGAAACGCGCCCCCTCCCCCGCGGCCACAGGCGTTGTCATCCCCATTTGACAGATGAGAACGGCGACGCAGGGGAAGGTGGCCTCTCATGACAGGACAGGTGCCCAGGTGGGCCCACGTCCCCTCACCGGTAGTCCCCGAGCCCAGCGCCCCCGGTCGCACAGAACCCACCTCCTGCCCTGGCCCTGCAGCCTTCCCTCCGCGAGCGGGCAGCGCGGCTTTGCGAGGGGGGCGGAGGGCCGGCGCCCAGCCCAGGGGCGTGGCGGACCGGGGTCCGCGCGCTGCCCTCTGGGACTCGTAGTTCTCCCTGAGAGCTTTGCGGCTCGGCGCGCCGAGCGCGAACTTCAGCTCCCAGGAGGCATTACGCGACTCGCCCAGCGCCCCGCCCCGCCCCCGCCGGCTCTCGGGCCGGCTGGCCTTAAAGGGGACGTGGTCCGAGCGGCGAATCGCGGGGTGGCCCCCGCTCCGGCTCCGCCCCATTTCCCGCACCTCGCCCCTCCCCCGCTTCGTCCCGCAGCCCCGGCGCCGCGCCGCAGAGTCGGGCTTCCTGGCACAAACGGGCTTGTGCAAAGGGTGGGAAGACTGGACTTTACCGTGGAAGCAGCATCCCCTCCGTCTGGGACCTGGCGGAGGGCGTCCCCACCCTGGGGGGAACAGAGGACCCGCCCTGACCTAGCGGGGCCCAGCCTAGTCCTGCCCGGCCTGAGCGCCCCGCCCAAGAGCCGGCTCTGAGGCAGGGCCCACTGGGGTCCGGGAGGTAAGGGGGCTGGGGGCGTGTGTGCAGGTTGGGAGGGGGGCGGTGTCTGCGCCCTGACGTTTCAAGGACCCCGACTCGCGAGGCTGGGAGTCGGGAGGTCCGGGTGCATCCTGGGCCTTGCTGTGTGACCTTGGGCGAGTAGCTACCCCTCTCTGGGCCTCAACCTCCTCATTCATCAATTGCATTTTGAGGTGATTCCGCTCGCCCCCCTCAGGGCTGAGGGCATCCGCTCCCAGTACCACGAATCTCGCTGGCCTTTCGTAGGGCCCTCAGCCCCAGGCTGGGTGCGGGTCGTTGGAATAACTGGAGGCAGGGAAGGGGCGGAGCTGGGGTCCGGAGGCCCCCACTGCTTGGAATGGGCTTCTGCTATTCTCAGCATCCTGGGCTCCGGGATACCTCATTTATAACAGCCTTTGCAAACCCGAGCCCCAGACGTGTCAGCTTGGTGCCTCCCCTTCCAGAAAGCCTGGGGTGGGGAGGGGGGTGCGGCCATGAGAGGGTGGTGAGGGGCAGCCCCGCAGGGATGGGCCAGTGCGATGGGTTCCTGAAGAGGGACTAGCTGCTTCTGCCTTCACCCCTCCCCTCTTCTCACTCCCTTTCAGGAGGAGAGCAGTTGCTTCTTGTCAGTCAACCCTTTTTTCTTTCTTTCCAGGAGTCAGTTTGGTGGCCCCTTCGGGCCTCCCAGAGTAGGGCGAGGGCTTCTTCCCAGGGTTGCCTTGGGGAGAAGTTCCGTTAAAAAAATGCAGAGAGGCTGCTGCCCAGGGACCTGAGGGGGCCAGAGATGGAGGGCACTTCTGGCTTCAGGAGGGGCAGCCTGGGACCCCGGGCAGCTCTGGCACCTAGGGGAGTCCAAGGAGGAAGGCTGGCTGCGAGGGTCAGAGAGCAGAGGAATAGGCTCCCCAACTGTTAGATCCTGAGCTGGGGGGCTGCTCTGCCCCGAGGCAGGGAGAGGTTGGGGGGACCTTCTCCAAGCCCGCTTCCCTTGTCCTAGGAGATTCTGTGAGCTTTTGTCCTGGGGCTAGCCAGAAAGACTATTTTTGTTTGGTTTTTGCTTTTTTTTTGCTGCTTTGGTTGGTTGATCCATTTTAGAATGGCCAAGGCCGCGCTCCAGTGCAGTCCAGTGACTCTGTAGGGGCTTTATTGTCTGATGTTTAAGGTTCTCAAGGTTAGCCAGGCTTGGTGGCTCAGCCTGTAATCCCAGCACTTTGGGAGGCTGAGGTGAGTGGATTGCCTGAGCCCGCGGGTTCGAGACCCGCCTGGGCAACTTGGTGAGACCTCATCTCTACAATAAGTCAAAAATTAGCCGGGCGTGGTAGCATGCGCCTGTAGTTCCAGCTACTTGGAGGGCTGAGGTGGAAGGATCGCCGGAGCCCAGCAGCTCGAGGCTGTGGTGGCCAGGAGCAGTCACTGCACTCCAGTCTGGGCGACTGAGTGAGACTCCAACTCAAAAAAAAAAAAACAACAAAAAAAAAACATTCTCAAGGTTTTGGATATGTAAGACCAGGCCTGGTCAGAGGAGGGGCAGAGACTGGACCAAATATTAGGCCAGTCTCTGGAAGGCACTTTTCTAGTCACATCCTTGGTTTTATCCCATCTTGCTGTCACATGTCTCTCATCAGTCACTTGGCACACCTTTATGGGCACTTCCGCTTGGTCCTGTACTGGACGCTGGCTCAGAGGTGGGCTTGGATCTACTTCCTTGCAAGGGAGGTCCCAGCCTGGTGAGAGGGAGAGACATGGAACCCAGTTACACTGCAGAGGGATGAGAGTAGGTTAGAGGGCCTTGAAGGCTAGAGCTCAGAGCCTTGAATTATGGAGGGAAAAGAAAAGGCTTCCCAGAGGAAGGGACATGTGCGCTCGGCCTTGAAGGATGAGTCAGAATTTGCCAGGAGAGAAGAGGAAGAAGCCCTTTCCCAGCAGAAAGGACATGATGCAAAGTGGCATTTGGGAAAAAGCATACCGCCCAATGCTGGTTGAGTTCACTTCAGCCCTGCCTCACATTAGCTGAGTGTCACAGAAAGGGCTGACATCAGGCTTGGGAGTTCGGACCTTCTGGGTCCAAGGAGCTGTGGAGCCTTGAGAGTTCCGAGCAGGGGCATGGTGAATGGAACCTACCGTACAAGAAGGTTAATCTACAGCCTGGGTGACATAGCAAGACCCTGTCTCTGCTAAAAAATAAAATACTGGCCAGGTGTGGTGGTGTGTGCCTGTAGCCCCAGCTACTCAGGAGGCTGAGGTGGAAGGATTGCCTAAGTCCAGGAGGTTGAAGATGCAGTGAGCTGTGATCATGCCACTGCACTCAAGCCTGTGTGACAAAGTGAGACCCCTGACTCAAAAAAAAAAAAAAAAAAGAAGAAGAAGGTTAATCTGTCAGTGTTGCAGGATGGGTTGGAGGGATGGAGAAGGGATGATGGGGCCTGAGCTGGGGCCCAGGGCGTGGCCTTGGAGCTGAGCATTGGAGGTGTGTATACACACACACACACACACAGGGTGCTTTGGGGTGATGGAGATAAGTCAGGCTCCACTATGCAGGAACAGAGATCTGTCAACACATGGCGGAAATGCTCAGGGTCATCCCAGAGGACAGATAAAGAGATCTGGGTGCTCTGCGGGAGGAATCATGATTCTCCTGAGTGCCTACTGTGTGCCCTGGAGCATGCTGGGAGTTCTGGGCTCCCCAGCTGTCATGTATAAGCCTAGGGCTGGGAAGGAGCAGCAGCGCCAGCTGGGAGAGGCTAAGGGGTGAGCAGGGAGTCCTCTCCCACTTGGGGTTCAGAGGCTCGCAGAGGCGAAAGATACCTCCCCTGTGGCCACGGCCACCATGGGGGTAGTGACTGGGCTAGGCTCAAAGCCTGGACTCTGTTCTCCAGGAAGCCTGCCTCTGTTGGAGGATGGACTGAGGGAGGGAATGAAGAGAGGGGTTGGGAGGCCCCTGCCCCAGTCCAGGAAGAAGTGAAGGGGAGCTGATCCTGGGTGGGGCTAGAGCTCCGGGGAGGGGCTGTGGAAACACGAAGCTGGTGGCCAGGGCGGTGGAGGCGATGCCACGTAGAATCAGCAAGATCAGCAGCGCGTGGCTCCTTCCCCTGACAGTGTCTGTTTCTCCCCTCAGTGCCAGGTGGCCGAGAATAGACTCATGACTGCCGGCCCTCTTTTTTACACCTTGACTCAGCCCTGTGAGTGGCATGCCCAGAATGGTCCCCATTTTCCTGATGAGAAGGCTGAGGAACCAGGCAAGGGCTTGCCCAAAGTCAGCTGGTGACTCCAAAGCAGAGAACCTGGGTCTCGTTCTTTTAGTGCAGGCTCTTCTGAGGGAGGACACAGCTGCTCTTTGCTGCTGTGTGTGGCGTGGGGCAGCTGTCCCTTGGGTCACAGCCAGCATCGACAGGCCCTCTCCTCATCCTTGCCTAGTGCGATCATCCAGCCCGCCTGAGGGAAGCAGAGTGCAGGTCCTTGTCCTGCCCTGCCAAGGCCATGACCCCAGCTTCCCCATCCCTGCTGCAGGGAGAGCGGACTTGTCCCGCCTTCCTTCCCTGGCTTGTGGGTGTCAGGTGAGGCGCAGGCCTCTAAAACCCTTTTGCATGAATGCATCCAAGATATTATTAAGTGGGCGTGTTGGTGACCATGGTGACAGCTGTCCTCAGACTGCCTGTGTGGGCGTGGGGGCAGGTGGTCAGGGCTTGCCTGGTGTGGTCAGGCCATAGACTGAGCAGAGGCTGCTGGGCTGGCCTTGGAGATCAGAGCTCCCATGGACCGAGTGCCCAGCTGGCAGGCGCAGCCCACCTAATGTGGTAAGTATTAGTGTTAGTATATTAGGTAGAAAGCTGTGGGACTGCCAACACTTGATTGCTGAATTTCATGTGGTTCAGTCTCATGCCATTTATCCCAATTTTGCAGAAGAGAAAAGAGGCTCATGGTTGTGATTTACTCAAGATCACACGGAGAGTGGGGTCTGGCATGCAGGACACTTCATTCCTGGTCTGCTTTTCTTTCCCCCTCCAGAGCCTTCCCTGGTCCCAGAACTCCATTTATGCCTGCCCCCTCGCCCTCTTCCTCCATGCACGAAGCCAGTACCTCACTGATTAGTGCTTCTCCGTGATTGCTGGGTGCCAGGATTCTTGGCATCGAGGCTGAAAGCACATTAAATCCACTGGCCTCAGGGCAGGGTCCAGCCATCCAGGGGCTCTGGGAGGGTGGACTTTTTGTGCTGGGGAGGTCGGCCACAGCAATCACACACTGTGTCACAGGCACTGCCTAGGAAAGAGAGGACCAGGCTGAAGGGAGACCAGTTTGGAAAGACACTTGTGCAGCCCTTTTGAGAGTCTGCCTTGTGCTGGCGTGCTTTCCAAACATGTCTGCTTCCACCACCTAGTGGAGGCTCCTGCAGGGCAGGGACTTTGCTTCTAAAGCCACAGGAATGGGTATTTTCTGAGCACTTCCTTGTGCCCAGCGCCACGCAAGGGCTTTGTCTTCACAGCCCTGCAAGGTGGAAACAGGCTTGGAGAGAATGAGTGACCTTCATGGTAATAAGGATGCAGAGTCTAAAACACCATTTCCTTCACTTTCTCATTCAGGAGCCTTGGGGTGGGCTCTGAGCTTCTCAGCTTTTAACAAGTGCCCAGGTGATTCCGAAGCAGCCAGCCTAGCATTTGGGAACCACCGGTCTCTTCCATGGCTACACCTTCAAACCACAGTAAACTCAAGTGGCACACACTCTTGGCCTGGGAGAAGCCAGCCTCAGATAGATAAGCCCTGGTCCCCGCCAGGAGAGGAGAGAGACAGACACTTAAGCAGATGAGCCCATTGCATGGTATCAAGAGCAGTAATTGAGGTTGGGTCACAGCTGAGAATTAGGACAGAGAAGGGCATGTCTCCATAGGGCCTGGCACCTAGTTGGGGTCCCAAAACATCTGTGGTTTTTGAGTAAAACTTTCTGGCCAGCCCCAGGTCTCAAGAATAGTTTTTACTGAGCCACTAAGTTATGGCGAGACTTATATCAGGTCTGGCCTGGAGTGGGATTATACAAAGAAGCAAGGAAAGGGCCCCGCCTTCTAGGAGCTGAGAGCTACATATTAAGAGACCACAAACCAGTGTGAGGATCAGGAGTCAAGAAGGTCTGTGTGCAACAGAGGCTTCTGGGAAACAGCCTGGGTGGAGGGAAGGGGCAGAAGGAAGACCGCCCTGGCTCCTTCTGGCTCGTCCTGGTCGGGAGGAGTAAGGTAACACACACTGTAGGCTATTGGGTCATCCTAGATGCCTACTGTGTGCCGGGCACTGTGCCAGGTGTGGGGATACTGGTGAACTGAACCTGATGATGTGGTTCCCGCCCTCAGGAACCATATATAGGATTGCGGGGGAGGCTGACCCCAGCAAGTAATCATCCATAATAAGTGCTCTGAGGGAGCAGGACAGGATGCTCTAATTTTTTAACTAGGGAGGAGTTCGAACTAGCCTGGGAGTCAGGCAAGGCTTCCTTGAGGAAGTGAGTTTCTGCTGAGGTCTGAGGAGGAGAGAAGCCGGAAGGGGAGAGCACAGCAAAGCCACAGGGGCAGAGGGCACGTAGCCAGCCAAGAGCGAGGGGCTGGTGTGGGCTGAGGCTGGAGAGTCAGGCAGGGTCCTAGTCGTGCGGGGCTGGAGCACGGAGATGAGATGCTCTGGTTCCGTCAAGGGGACTGGACCCCTCCTACCCCAGCACTAAGTGATCCCAGCTGAAACGGAGGAGCAGGAGGCCACAGGCGGTGGTAGGAGTCGTGGGTAGGGAGGGGATGGATTCGGGCCCTGGACCAGGGACGTTCTCACTGAGGTCAGGTGCTTCTTTTTTTTTGGAGTCTCACTCCGTTGCCTAGGCTGGAGTACAACGGCACACTCATGGCCACCCCGGCCACGCCAGCGTCCACCTGATCCTTCCGCCTCAGCCTTCCAAGCAGCCGGAACTCCAGGCGCGCACTACCACGACCGGCTACTTTTTGATTACTGTCGAGACGAGGTCTCGCCAAGCTGTCCGGCAGTCCACTCGTCTTGGCCTCCCAAAGTGCTGGGATTACAGGCGTGAGCTACCACGCCCTGCCGGTCAGGTGCTTTCATAGGCTTGGAAGGAAAACAGGAGCCCGCCTAGTTGTGTGCGTGGAGGTGGTGGGGCTCCTGTGTTCCTGGGGCAAAGGCGCAGGTCATTTGGGAAAGGGCGGAATACAGAGTGCAAGGGATCCTGGGAAGCCTCGCAGCCCTCCCTTTTGTGCCCCACCTCGTCTCCCCCGTGGATGTGACTCGGCTAAGACCCGGCCCGCCTGCTCCGAGAGCGGATGAGGTCGCCGGGGAGGCCCGGGGAGAGAACGGCAGAGGGGTGACGGGCGGGGCGGCGGCTCAGGTCGGCCCTGCGGTTCCAAGGCGCTTAGCAGCAAAAGCTGCAAGTCCCTGGGGGCTTGTTTTGTGCCAGCGACCGTGCGGTGTCATCAGGGCGGGGGGGGGTCCTTGCCCCATCCCACAGATGGGAAGACGGAGGCCCGGCAAGGCTGAGTCGCTCGCCGAA